GGCGGCCGTGAGCCTTAAATGAGTTAACGACGGAAAGCACTCACAGCCGTGCCTGGAGGAACTTTTATCCAAACGTGAGCTGCAACTTTCCAATCATCATCCTTTTCAGAAACCATACGTTGTATTAAGCTCTTTCTTTGCAACTGTGACTAACGTTTGGCTTCTCACCTCTCAGGGTGGACAGCGTGCCTGACACCATTAGTGACCACCATATATCCCAGCTTCCCAGGCTGTTAGTTTGGGGCCACACTGAGAGAGGAGCCAGCCTAATGAGACAGGGTCATTGCAAGGCCCCTGGCCTAACAAGATAAGGCGCTACCCAAGCGGTAAGCTAAGAGAATCAGATAGACCACCAAGATCCGACATCCGCAGCCCCCGGACTTTTCCAGGCTTACCCATGTGCGCCAGCACCCAGGAGTTGGCTGAAGGTGACCTTAGCCCCATTACCAGACTAAAAATCACACCCAGGGGTGGAGAGCTAGCATGCTAATGATGCGTGCAACACCTGTGGTGGCCTGTGGAACAAGAATGCAAGCGCAAGAAAAATCCCACCTGCACATGCCGTGAGAAGGCCTCCTCCCCAGCCTTTGCCTGATAAAAAGCCCCACAATCCCACTCCCTAACCAGCGGGTCACCTGTCCCTTTCCTTTCCGCACCGGCTCCCTTGTGCTTCTCTTGTGCGCAAGCTAACAAACTTGCTTTTCTGCTCCCATTTGTTATCTCTCTTGATTTCTATCCTGGGGGACAACAAGCACCCAGGGCGCTGGTGACAGTGTGGTGGGATTCTGGTCAAGGTTTAAGAAACAGGACAAGTAAGGGATTGTGAGCTACATTCTATGATGTCCTCAGAGATGCTATGTTTAAGAGATCAGCACAGAGAGGCCCTCGCTCTACGAAACAACAGACTGTATTACCATCATGTGTCGCTTAACAATGGGGATATGTTCTGAGAAAGAGTCATTGAGTGACTGTGTCGTTGTGCACACATCATAGAGTGCACACGCAAACCTAGACTGTCCAGCTTACTGCTCCCAGGCTGCAGACCTGCACAGCGTGTTACTGTACCCAATACTGTCGGCATGGGGACACAATGGAAGTATTTGCGTATGTAAACGTCTCTAAACACAGAAAAGCCACAGTAAAAGTAGAGTATGAAAGATAAACAATGGTGCACCTGCGTAGGGCGCCTGCCGTGAACGGAGCTTGCAGGGCTGGCAGTTCGGGACCACCAATACCCCTGTCTTCACCTCCACATCTCGTCGCACCGGAAGGTCTTCAGGGGCCGTGACGCTCATGCAGCTGTCATCTCCTGTGATAACAACGCCTTCTTCTGGAACAGCTCCTGGGGGACCTGCCTGAGGCTTTTCTTGAGGAGGTGTCATTCCTTTCAGAAGTTTTCAGCTCCATTATAATCTTTTGGGACCCCCAGGGTATGTGCGCATCCATCATTGGCTGAAACATTGTTACACAGCACACGACCGTATTTGCCATGCAAGAAGTGAGGTTTGACGCTGTGTGAGCAAAACCAAAACAAGTAACAACAACAAAATCTTAAACTGAAGTGGGAGCTGTGAGCTATAAACTCGAAGGGCAGGTTGGCTGCTCTGAGAACACGAAGCTATCAGCCCTACATTTGAAGCCTGCGTCTTGACTCGGTTGTAAAGTGAACTATAGACTGGGGGTTTCTGGTTAAGTCAGAGACACCCGAAGGGGGCTAACGTGGTCTCAGGTCAGTGGCACCAACACCCCCTTCTCAGTCCCTGATCAAAGTCCACACAAACCCTCTCTGGAGTAAAACTGCCTTTATTTCAGTCCTTAAGTTTTCCACATTTGACTTCACAGTCAAAGATGGTGAAGATTACTCCAGAAAAGAAATAGCCAAAAGTGAGAGTCAGCAGAAAGATCAAACATGAGATTTCCGTTCCGTGTGAGTCAGGTTAGGCCAGATCACGTGCAGTAACAAACACTCCCAGAATCTCAGTGGCTCAGCTCCAAGTCGATCTCTTGCCATCGGCTGCAGTCTGGCAGCTCTCCAGGGTCAGGACCCAGAAAATGGCTGCTAGCAGAATTCAAAAGCGATCCTTTATTTCAACTGTGGATAGGATCTGAGCTTGTGGCTCGGACCAGCTTTAAAATAGCTTGCATTATGGCACAAAAAAGCAAAACACTTTTAGTTGCAGAGATGGTTAAAGAAATCACTACTTTGGTTATGGAAGTTTTGTTGGAAAAATTTAAGATTAAACATTTTAAAGTATATAAAATGTGAACGACCTTCCATTAAGGAGCCAAACAGTTGCCCATAGAAGACAAGACCTTTGTAAGAAGATCAAAGATCAATTGACTTAAAATGTGACAATTTGCAGATATTCCTCTCCAGAGCCCTGTGGGAAGTGTGATGTAAGACACTGCCCAAATGACACTTTGAGTGTGTCTTACAGCGTTCCCAAAGCTATGAAGAGGTGTTGTAAACTCGGGGCAAAAATATCACAGTAGTGGGATAGATACTTTTAAATCTTTTCAAGCTGCCGGATGAGAAGTGCGGGAGAAACTCGGCACAAAGCCCTTGCGATGGCAGTGCCTGCGGAAGACTCCAGTCCCGCTCTCACTCTCTCTGTCCCAGAACGACTCGTGGCCACTTCTGCATCCTGCCTTTATTTTGCCTCAGTTGTTTCCAGACACATTTCATCTCCGTCCAGTTATACAGAGTACTTGATTAGGAAAACTGATCCAATCTAGGTATTAACACTAGGATATGCTTTTAACCTGGGGACTGAGAGGCCTGCCCAAGCCTGGGAGGGCTGGGAATGCTGGGGCCTGGGAGACTAACTGGTGCGCGGAACTGAGTGGTTTTCAAGAGCCATCAGCTGTGAAACACCACTGCCGTCCACTTGCAATAGCTGCCAATCGTCCTCCTCGTCCACGCTCTAAACCTCACGGGATCGCCTCTCATCCACAGCCTCTAACCCAACCTATCTGGAAAGGGAGGATGAGGAGCGTTGTTCCAGGCTCCTTCTCTGGGATGCAGAGAGCATAGAGGGACCACCGGGGGTGCCGTGTTTATAACAGGATTCAGAAGAGTTGAATCATTCATATGTGAGTATTCATCCTATATCTGACTTTCTTGTGGAAATGTGTCCTCTCTCCTCCAAGATGTCAAATAGGAGTTCGGCCTATTAGATCCTGGGTCTGCCTGGGACAAAGTATTGCTTTATCATCTTGTATTTCAATTACTCGTTGTCTCAGTGTACTAACACACAGGGCCACGGGAGTGGGTGGCAGTGAGCTCTTCCTCGACAAACCCCAGACTCCAACTCTATAGCCACATTAAAGAGCTATGCGGAGAATTACCGAATACAAATACAGAGAAAGCCATAGAGATTATTTGTTGTCTGACTCAAGGCACAATTATTTGGGAGACATAGTTTCAGTTGACATGTTATGCTGCTCTGAAATTAACTTTCAACTTCCCCAGAAAGTGGAATATGCTTAACCAATGAAACTAAGAAAGTATAACTCTACTGATGTTAA